CTTATGATTAAATAAGGACATAGATGTAGGCCTTTTTAATATTGTCACAAATAAATAAAAGCACTCTTTATCTTGTTTCATAATTCTGTCTCGATATTAATGGTAATATATTATGAATAACTTGATAAACCCCGTGGAATAAAATAGGTATCTCTTGAGTATCTGTGATGAGATCACAATCATGAGGATTCAAGAATACCGGATGTTTATTCCTAATTTTATGTTCCTAGTCTATAGATACTGAGAATGGGGTCAGTAATCTCGGGTAAGACTAACACGACTTATCTATTTGTATATGGATACAAGGTATAGACCTCATGTGCTACAGATATGGAGATGTCTTAGCTAAAGTCGTGGGTGGACCTATAAGGGTATAGCTCGCACTGAACAGACCTACAAAGAGACTCTATGAGGAACTCTCACAGAGAGTATCATTAGAGTAGTCTCTTTATATTTGGGTATGTCTTTCCTAAGACCAGAAGTTATTACCTAGACTGTGTTCTAGAAGGCATGCTTTGATTGTGCACCTCGTCTGCCTGAAACATGGAGACTCATAGGTATACTGTTGGGCTTGTCCTGAAAGAACACGGGGCTAGGGTGATAAGCTGAAGGAATTCGTCAAATCTCTGTGAGAGATTAGGTTATCTGTAAACTGGAGAAATCAGGATGACATTTACAGGGACTCGGGAATCTATGCATAGTAAAAGAGATCATGAGATGATCTGCCTTTAGAGTCTGTAAATTGAAGATTCCCTATTTCGAATAAAGCTTACCCTAAACCACAAGGGTTGATACGCTTCCTTACCCTAGGTTTTATGGGAAGGTAACCGAGACGAAAGGAAATATATACGGCAACCAAATATGTGCAATAGGATGATCAAGTCACTAATCTAACTAGTTCTGGGGCAACAAAGCATTGCTAGTGCTCTGTGTTGTCATTAGATGGGTTGTGGGCTTATTTGGCCCAAGCCCATTTATGTCAGTGGCTATGTTGGACCTAATGGGTCATACACTAACACCTAATTGTCTAGATGCTCTAGCATTAATGGTATTGGGCCTAACAATTGTTATTAGCCCAAGAAGTAGTTTGGAACTCCACAGATAGGGTGGAGGGCACATGGATCTAAGTAATGGGCTTGGATAGTCCAAGTCATTACTAATTAATTTAATTAGTTAAATTAATTATCAAATGTTTAAATTTTGAATTTGAAATTTGAAATTTGAATTTTGAAATTTGAATTTTAAATTTGAATTTTGAAATTCGAATTTTGAATTTGGAATTTGAAATTTGAATTTTGAATTTTGAATTTTGAAATTTGAAATTTGAATTTTGAATTTTGAAATTTGAATTTGAATTTAGAATTGAAATTTGAATTTAAAATTTAAGTGTTTGAAAGTTTGAATTCAAATGTTTGAAATTCGAATTTGAATTGGCTATGAAAAGTTGTTTCATAACAAAAGGATAAGATGAGATCTTGTTGGAACATATCAAGAGGAAATCTTTTGGACATAATCTAAGAAGATTTGGGGTGCTGATTTGGCTGTTGGTTAGTCATCAGAATCAGCTCCAGAAAATACGATCTGTTGGGAGAATATTTGAGTGATTTGATTCAAGTTTGAATGCAACTACTCAAATGTATCTGGTCATTATTTAGGCTATATGGGGCGCACCATATAACTGATTATATGATGATTTATGATCAGATATTTGATTAGGTTTTGAACCTAATATATCATAAAGATATGATAGGATGTTGTTGGCAAGATTTGATGAGATTTGATTTGCAACAAATCATATTCTCTCTCTTTGATGGAGCGCCCTTTTGGAAGGGATTTTTATTGATTAAAAATCTGATTTGTTTTTAACAAATAGGCTCCTCTTGTGCGCCTCTATATATATGTTCCTTCTAGGGTTTTTAGAAAACCAACCAAGCCATTCTCTTCTCCTCTCTTGCGCCACTTTTTGTGAAGTTTTCACATTGGAAGCTTCACTCTTTCAAACACTTTTACCTAGCCTTTCTCTTCACACAGTGTGCGCTTAGCAAGCCTCATTGTAGTGATCACTTGGCGGTTTCACAAGAAGGAGTTCTTGCACCTAGACGCAGTGGGTGGTGTGGATCAACGTTAGAGGGTCTGAACCCTTTAGACCTACCTTGATCATCACGAGTTTTCACGAACAAGGTAACATCATGCTTTCCTAAAGCATGATCTTGAATGCATGTGTGTTCCGCAATGAAAAAGTTTTATTTTTCCCTCCAGCATGCATCGGCCTTCAAGGCCATTTCCAACTTTCAGATTTCTCATATTTAATGCTTTCACTTTAAATATGGGGAATTATGACCATACAAAGATGGAAATAAATATAATTGTTGGATCAACATAATCGATCTAACGGTGAGATTGATTGGTAGTCACTTGGTAGTAACACAACTTGGTTGCCACAATATCCTTCCCCTCAAAAGAATTCAAATTATGAATTACACGTTGTAAAACTTTCCACATAATGACTCTGGGTTATAATATGGTATAGATCGAAGATCCTTCAAGAGAGGTTGCTAAAACTCAAGATAAGGGGCAAGGGAGAGTGACGGCTAGGGTTTGTTCAAGAGAGAGAGGCCGCCACAATTGTGAGTAATGTTCGGCTAGGGTTTTGGATAGAGCAAAATAATAAAAATATCTTATTTAAATAAATAAAAATAGAATTAAATATGATGGCTAATCAACCCCCTTGATTAGCGCCCTTTCACTTCCAAATCATATTCGATAATTTCATTTTTTTTATCTAATTGATTGGTTTCCCTATTTTGTCCCAATCAATCAAATTAATTTCAGCCAATTAATTAAATTAATTGATTTTCTTAATTTTGTCCATTGTCATCGTATCTAATTTCATGACTATTTTTAAATTAAAATTTTAAATTCAAAATTCAAAATTATAATTCAAATTAATTTTATTAGTTTAATTTTTTTAAAAAGCTTGCTTAAGATGAAAAGTTTACACTTTCCAAAAGAATCCAAATCATTGTATGAATTACACGTGGCAAAACTTTACATAGAATGGCTCTGAATTAAAATATAGTATAGATATAAGATCCTTCAAGAGTGGTTGATAAAACTCAAGATAATGGACAAAGGGGAGTGGTAGTTAGGGTTTGTTCAAGAGAGAGAGATCGGGCCACTACAGTAGTGTGTAATTTTTGACCAGGGTTATAAACAGAGCAAAATAAAAAAATGCCTCTTTTAAATAAGGAAAAAGAAAAACTAAATATGATAGCTACTCAACCCCCTTGATTAGCGCCCCATCACTTCCCAAACATATTAGGTAATTTACTTTTTTTTTATCTTATTGATTGGTTTTCCTAATTTGAATCAATCAATTTAATTAATTAATTTTTTTCATTGTTATTAATATCAATCTAAGTTTATGATTATATTATATTTAAATTCAAATTTCAACCAGTGTTTAAAAACTCGGCCCGGACATCGACCCGGCCGAGGTCAGGGGTCACGGGTTCAGCCGGGGGGTCACGGGGTCACACTACGTTGACCCAGTTTTATATATTAAAAAATAGAAATATATATATCCTATATGAAAATATTAAAAAACAAATCACCAATCATCAAAGTTCAAAATATACTTAACATAATTTATCAATTACAACCATAAATCAATATTACACAATCTAATAAAAGTATAAAGATACCAAAGTACAAAACTCATATTCTAATGATACCAAATTATCAAGATATCACAAGTCTAGGTTGCTCAGAGAGAAGAGAACGATTAGATTTAGGTTTACAAACATTTTTACTTTATTTTTTTAATAAAACGACGTTGTTTCATGAAATTTTCTTTAAAAAAAAACATACAATTACTCCCTATGACCCCTCTGACCCGGGAGTCACTGAAACCGAGTCGAATTTGGGAGTCGAAGGGGTCGATGTGCATATAGGGTCCAACTTGTTACCCCAATCCTCAGATGGGAGGGGTCAAGGTTGACCCGGGTCAACCCGGGAGCGGGATTTAAATCACTGATTTCAACCTCAAAATTCAAAATTAGAATTCAAATTAATTTTATTAATTTAAAATATTTTAAAAAACTTGCTTAAGATTGAATGTTTACGCTTTTCAAAAAAATACAAATCATTGTTTTGATTACACGTGGCAAATTTTTTGAAGAATTTACTTCAAATTGGTCATGTTTACTCTTACTCTTTATATTAATATCGTATAAATTGGTCATGTTTTTTTATAAAAAGAATTTAGAAAAAGAGTATTATTTTGGGCCATTGCTGAATGGTTTTCTTACTCTTTATAAATATGAAGTTCCCTTCTCGTTAATCATAGATAACAACCCCTCACCACCCAGAAGAAAAATTATTGGTGAACCCAAATTTACTTGTCATATATGTAGTTGCTCAAATTTATGACGAAATTACTGGGATTTTGTTATTTAGGAAAGAAAACAAACACAGAATAATAACTTATAATGATGTGATATGATACAATAAAAAGGAAAAAAATTTCCTTATTTATTATATTTAAGAAATTTTTTTAAAAAAAAAGTATTAAAAAATATAAAAATTATATCTATAGAAATCTCACGAGATATTTAAAATTAAATTAAAAGGAAAAATATATTTCAAATTATATTTTTTCCTTTTAACTTAATTCATTCCATTATAATTATATCATCATATAATTACGTCTTAATTTCTACAGTTGTAACATTTCATAAACATATCTTAATTTACAGCTCAACCCCATTTTCAAAGGATTTGATTTATAAAAGGGAAAAACAATTATCCTTTTAAAGGATATAAGTTTATATCCTTTTAGATACTAACCGTTGATGGACGAAAATCAATGGTTAGAATCTAAAAAGATATAATTTTTATCCTCTTTAAAAAGATAGATGGTATCCCCTATATAAAAATATGCTAACCCCGTTCTCACATTTCATAATCTAAACCCTGATTCCAGTTTGAATAAACGAAACATGAAAAGGAGGAGGTGGGAGAGTAACCTCCACTGGGATATCATTTATGAAATCCTGTTGAGGTTACCTGTGAAGTCACTTGTTCGATTCAAATGTGTGTGCAAATCATGGCTTTCTCTCATCTCTGATCCTCACTTTGCAAAATCCCATTATAACCTATCTGCTTCACCCTCCCACAAGCTTCTCCTGATAGAGCGTTCTGGTTCCGAAACTCGATCCCTAGATGTGGATGCATTTCTTCATACTGATGCAAGCGTCATTCTCCGACCTCCAAAGCCTGGTAAACGTCCTAGTCTTGAGATTTTGGGTTCATGTAGAGGGTTTCTCTTTATCGAAAGATACCCAAATCTTTATCTACTGAACCCATCAGTTGGTTTCCTCAGAGACCTATCATACTTTGAGATTGGGCAAGAACATCACAATGAGGTGAAACCCTTAATTGGTTTTGGATATGATCCATCCACTGATAATTATTTGATAGTTGTGCTTTTCTCAACCTTTAATAATGATGATATGGCAGACCGTTTGGTCATTTTCTCTTTGAGAACCAATTCATTGAAAGAAATTCAGATGCCCCATATTCCCTTCTATTATTCTGAAAATCAATCATTGCTTTTTAATGATGCTATTCATTGGTTGGCTTATGGTGAAAATAGATTGAAAGTCATTCTTGCTTTTGATCTGATAAAAGAGAATTTTTATGAGATATCTCTGCCAGATGGTGATTTCACAATTGGATTTTCATTTTGTAATTTGGGAACTATGGGAGGATGTCTCTGTTTATGTCAATTTGATCGTAGTAAAACTATAGTGTGGATTATGAAAAAATATAAATTGCAGTCATCTTGGATTATGATTGAGATTGCTAGGAACCTTTCCGCTGCATGCATGGCCAAAGGTGGTGAACTTGTTGCATTAAGTTTTGATGATGGAGAATTGATGAAATTTAATGACAAAGGACAATTTCTTGAACGTTGTGAATATTATTTCGATGATCTGAGTGGATTTGAAGTAGCTGCGTATACAGAGAGTCTTCTTTCACTCCCTATGAAACAACCTCAAAAGAACCAGATCAGAAGAAATAGGAATGCTTAATTTACTGTAATGCTTAATTTACTGTAGTTTCAACAATTTTTTTATTGCTGAACACTGTTACCAAGTTCACAGCTTAATAATGGAAACAGTATTTGACTTGTTCTTTTTATTTATTTAATTTTCAAGGGCTTGCTTGTCAAGTTATTGTGACATCATTTGTTTTTCTTCAACTTAACTTTTGATCTATTTTAGCAGCGTATGTTAATTGTGTATTTAGTGTGCTGGATTACAAATGCATTTCACAACCACCATGAAAGCTTTGCCAAATTGTGCGTAGTTTCTCTTCTTGATAGACTAAAATATAGTGCATAAAGGACACAAACAAAATTCAAATCCTTGAAATAGTAAAAATACATTGAATGGGGTAAAGGGGGCAGGGAGAGGATTACTTTAGCATATTATTTTATCTTATTTTTAATACCTTTGTGTAGTCATGCCCATGAATGCGCTTATAACTAAAAAATGTTTACTCTTGCTTCAATTTTTTTTTTAAATATATTGCTTTTGCAATTTTAACCCGGGTGCCATGAAGGCCAAAGGTGCTTCTTTAACTTTCATAACTTTCAACTTTGGGGGTTTAAATAACCACTTTTTAACCTTAATTACCTTTTTGAGGTGAGTTGGCTAAACCTGGTATCTCTATAAGCATTGACTCTTTGGATGGTTATGGTACTATTTCGGAGTATGGAACGGGTCAGGGTTGAAGATATTTAAATCTCTCCTAAATGTGGCATGTACAGTAGCCATATTTTATTTAGGTAGGGCCCGAGCTCCAGCTACATTTTAGCAAATTTTATTTATTATATATAATTATATAAGTAATTATAATTGGGTCTCTAGCTAAAATTGTAAATTGGCCCTAACTAATATTGTAACAGTGGTATTAGACGAAGATTTTGAGCTGCTTTGCGTGTGATAACAGATTGCTTTCTTCTTAATTTCTTCTTTTTCTTTCATCTTTTTTCAATTAAGGTTTTCTTCTAATTTTTTTTCTTATTTGCACTCACCACCCGGAACCTAGCCATTATGTGTCAAGATACGATGTTCCGTTCCTTTCTCAAGATTTAACGGATACATGTTAATTGGAATATGCGTCGTTGGTAATTATATTGTCCGCTAGGAAAAAAATCGATTTACATTTTTGAACCATGTAAAAGAGAAATCCTTTGTCTTTGATGATTATAATTGTTTATTGAGTGTTTCAAACATGAGTGAAATCCATGCCCCATTTTTTTATTTACAACTTTTTTTTGTGTGGTTGTATTTATTAATTTTATTTCTTTTGAAAAATGGAGTGTTGTTTTACGTTTACTTTTTTTTTAAAAAAAATAAAATTATTTTAACGTAGAGCTACAATTGCTATTGGTAATGAAATTGAATTGTTGCTTGGTGTTACTTGTATTTGATTTCACAACAGGAATTGAAATTTTGACGATTAATCAGTGGAAAGTGTTAAAGAAAAAAAATCAATAAAGATATATGTATATATATGGAGTATGAAAATTTCTTGTACATACCCATTAACAACTTCTTTATTTTTATTTATTTTTTGTATTCTTAAAATTTCTAAAATATCTAAATGCTGATTAAATGATTTATGTGGATCTAATGTCATTTAAATGATTTTAGCTATTTGTTGCTAATTGTTCCATCTTTCTTTTTAATTGTGAAATTTGCTCTGTCCCTCTATGTTGATGTTCTTCACAAGTCACGGTTAGGGGTTTAAATTGAGCCAAGTTAGGCCAGACTTTGACTTTGATAACCTAAGCTTATGTAAAATATTTGGAGTCTATATTGGCTTATTAGTCTATTAAAGGCTTAATTTATATGTCTGATCAATTATAAAAATTAAAAAAACCTAATATGTCATGTAAAGCCTACCAAGTTGCAAACAAAAATTTATGGGCCCAAACCAAATTTAACATCACATGAAATAATGTTCAGAAAAATCACATGAAACATCGCAAGAAATAATGTTCATAAAGATCACATGAAAATGTTCATAAAAATCGCATGAAATTTTCATATATGTATATATAAATATAATTTGCACATTCGTTGCTAATTTAATTTTATATTATATTTTAAATTTTAAATAAATATTTATTATTTGTTAAAATAACATCAGTCCTATTACTTTGAAAATTAATGTTACAAATCATGATCTCAGAATATGTCTTTTAGTGAATAATATATATAGTAAATATATGATATTATTAAAAAAATTAAAAGGTTATGCTGGAGGTATGTCAAATCTTTTCTAGTTTTGAGATTTTGGGTTCATGCAGAGGGTTTTTCTTTATCGAAAGATACCCAAATCTTTATCTACGGAACCCATCAACTGGTTTCCTCGGGGACCTATCATACTTTGAGATAGGGCAAGAACATCACAATGAGGTTAAACCCTTAATTGGTTTCGGGTATGATCCATCCACTGATAATTATTTGATAGTTGTGCTTTTCTCAACCTTTAATAATGATGATATGGTAGACTGTTTGGTCATTTTTTCTTTGAGAACCAATTCATTGAAAGAAATTCAGGTGCCCCATATTCCCTTCTATTATTATGAAAATCAATCATTGTTTTGTAATGATGCTATTCATTGGTTGGCATATGGTGAAATTAGATTGAAAGTAATTCTTGCTTTTGATTTGATAAAAGAGAACTTTTATGAGATATCTCTGCCGGTGATTTCACAATTGCTTCGAAGGCAAGGCAAACCGGTAGGAAACAGATCCTACTCTACCACGTAACTGGTATGGCCCAAAGAATCGCGGGCTCAGTTTCCTCACTCCAAGTGCCCAAACAACACCAGTGACAGTGAAAGCTTCACAAACACGTGCTCACCCTTACCGAACTCCAGTGAACGATGCTCAACATCAACGTAGTCCTCCTGACGACTAAGCGCCTGCATCAGCTTTCCTCTGATCATCTAACCCGTCAGATGGTAAATCGGATAAGGTCCAATCCAAACAACTCTTTTTATCTCCAATCTCAGACCAACAGGTAGGAGTTCTACACTTCCTACCAAACAACGCCTCGTAGGGTCCCATGCCCAGGCTAGCAAGGAACACACAATCACAAAACTCTACCAATGATACGTACCTATCTCATGCGAGGCCCTGTTCCAAGGTGCAAGCCCTCGGCACGTCCTCCAAGATTTGGAGGGTCCGCTCAGTCTGTCCAGCAGTATGAGGGTGATAGGTTGTACTCAGTCTCAACTGAGTTCCAAAAGCTCTTAGCAGCGTCTCCCCGAACCGAGATGTGAACTTCGGGTCCCTAACACAGAGGATACTCTCGGGCACCCCATGAAGACTCACGATCTCGCGAACGACAGTATGACCAACTGCTTTGACGAGAAGCTCACCTTTACCGGAAGAAAGTGGGCAGACTTAGATAATCTGTCCACGATGACCCAAAAGAGTCATTACTAACCTGGGTCTTAGGCCGACCCATCACGAAGTTCATGGAAATATTTTTCCACTTCCACAACGGTACTTCAAGAGGTTGAAGCTTACCAACGGCTTCTGGTGTTCAATCTCTACCTTCAAGCAAATCAAACACTTGGACACATACACCGCTATATCCTTCTTCAATCCACGACACACCATCTTGGTTCTTCTCCAAAAGCTCATTCTCGACTCTCAAAGTCTCAAATATGAGAAGTGCATCCTCAAACAAAGAGGTCACTGTCAGAACTCGAAGTTTCACAATGACGTCATGACGTCATCCGATTCTCTGGGATCATCAGTCATTCCCTCAATAAGGGTGACCTAACCCCACAAACTCTAATCTACACAACACTCGAGTGAGTTGGGTCCTATTCCATGACTCTAACTTCAACAAGACTAGCAATTTATAATCCATATTCTCAAAATAAATTCATATTCATTTCAAAGTACTAAATCATAATCATGTTCAATTCCACCAATACATGTTAGTTAACCAACTCATTTACATAGTAACGTACCTTAGTTCACGTACACCTGCAAAATTTTAATAACATAATAGCTAAAAAAAACTCTATGTAACGGTATACCTCACTCTCCATGGTATCTGGAAAATTGAGAGTTAGTCAAAGGTGAAATAACATTGATTTATTATCACAGTTCATGGTACTCATTTTATGCTTAACACTATCCCTGGTGTTAACATGCCCACTACTTACGAAGCATAACAAACTCAACATAAAATCCTAGAGTCATAGAGACCACTCAACTCACAAGCTACTTGTACATGCACTGCCTCGCATATACAAGATCACACATGGCCTTGCCACCAATTCTAGGTGTTACACACTCGGTTTCCCTGAAGAGAATTTCACATCCTCAAACAGAGCACCATCACGCTTAAGTAATGGCGTAAGGCCTCTTACCTTACCACAAAATGACCGGTGCTCCCAAGGAGACACACTCAGTCGAAGAAGTCTTTCGCCGAAAGACCCTCAGAACACTACTTCAATTCATCCAACTCTGGTGGCGACATCTGGTATGGAGCTAAAGCAATAGGTCCACACCTGGCAACAACTCACTGGAGAACGCTATCTCCCGCTGTGGCGAAAACTTAGGAACACCTCGAGGAATTCCTTCACCACAGGAATGCCAGTGAGATCCTCCTGTGTCCCACTCACCAAACCTCCCAACAAGAAATATCCGAATGCCCCTGCTCGCCAAGCTCTCCTGGCCTGCAGCAATAAAAGGCGAGGAACTGGCTGTGGAATCACACGGAGACATCACCACTCGCTAGGCACAACAAACAATCAATCAATCAACTATTGGACAATCCATCCACGCCAAGGATGATTTCCAAAATAGCCATCGGCAACCCTATCAGATCTACTGAGAAGTCACAGCCCTCCCACTGAAACACAACATCTCGATGTACAGTGGTAGCATCACATATTTCTCTGGCGGCGGTAGTCACCTGCAACGGTAGAGAAAGCACAAACATGGGCAACTCAAGCCCCAAAGCAATCGGGGTAGCAACAAACGAATGCGTA